TTTGGCTCTTCCACTAAATGTCGAACCGGTGGCTCAAGCCCGAACACCGTTACTGTACTTTTCGCTCACTGATGGCTATTGCAGTCGAAGGTATGGTCATATAATCCGGTCAGTAGTATCATTCATTGGTTGCGCAGTTTGGCTTGGAGTGGTTTAGTAATTGCTGATATGGGTTGTGGCGATGCGAAGATCTCCAAAGCGATGTCTTCTCTGGCCACTGTTCATTCATTTGATCTGGTTGCTGCGAATGAGCGTGTTACCGTCTGCAATATGGCCAAGGTTGGAATCCTTTTCAGACCTGCAATAGCTGTTGCTTTACACCTACCTTTTGCGGTCGATAACATAAATCACCATAAATTTTGCAAAGTAAATGTACAGTTTCCATCTAATAATCGTTCCTTAAAAATAGCCTAGTTGTTCAGTGAAAAATTTTTTTAAGACTTTTAAGACTTTCAATGTTTTTTGCTTACATTTTATGGCTTATTTGTTTGCTTAGATGCCGCTTTATTTCTGCTCCTTATGTCTGTGAAGCTGCTAGTTTTCTCCCTGTTGTGAATGCTGGCTTTTCCACTTTCGTATAATTCAATGTAGCCCTTCCGGTTCGGTCATTTTGTACATTCCCTCGATTTACTTAATATCACCTGGGCACCATTCCACAGTTCGCCTTATCTGTATAACTTATCACTCGCAGCATTAAATCCATAAAAATCCCCACTGCCCAGTGAGGAACTGTCTTATGCATACGATGGCGGATATGTGCAACCGCTTGTTCTTGTTGCACTGCAGCATTGAAGTCAGGGATTAACCAGCTGTTCTATTATTTTACAACATTCAACTCGCGTGTTTGGGCATTTGCGTGTGTGTGTGTGTGCGTATGTCTTTATGTTTTTATGCGTTTTTTGCAGCCATGCAATGCGAAAAACGCATATTGACGAGAGGTTGTCTGTGTGTGTGTGTCTGTATGTGCGCTGAGCCTCTGTACCGATTTTTCATCTCGAGACTGACAAAAGCTACGGGGCTGAAACTTTGGGAACTTGATCTACATGCATGTAGGGGCCCCTATCCCCAAAATGCGCGGTCTTTCCCGCGTGGTACCCACGTAAGAGCCCATCAAAGTCTTTTACGGGTAAGCTGCGAACTCGCAAACTTGAAAAGCTAGAGTGCTGAAAATTTATGGGAATGTTCCCCGCCCAAGTAGGTACTAACGAGTTCAAATCCAACCTTCCGAGCAAGCGTGGTGCCGCGTAGGAGCTCGCCAAAATTTTTCCCGCGTAAATTCATAACTCGGGATTCTGAGATGTTAGAAAGCTGAAATTTTGAGAGAATGTTCCCCGTCCTAGTAGGTGCTAATGAGATTAAACCCAATCCCCGGGTAAGCGTGGTACCCGCGTACGGGCCCGCCAAAATTTCTCCCGCGTAAATTCATAACTCGGGAATCTGAGACGCCAGAAAACTGAAATTTTAAGGGAATGTCCCCCGTCCTAATAGGTGCTAATGAGCTTAAACCCAACCCCCGGGTAAGAATAGTACCCGCGTGCGGACCCGCCAAAATTTTTCCCGCGTAAATTCAAAACTCGGGGATCTGAGATGTTAGGAGATTGTAACATTTAGAGGGTGTTTCTCGTCTACATTAGTCTCAGTGAGATCAAACCAGCCCTCGGTCATGCTAGGTACCTACGCACGGGTTCACCAAAGTTTTCTCGGGTAAGCTCATAAATCGAGAACCTGTAAAGCTAAAAGACTGTAGTTTTAGGAAGATGTTCCCTGTCCAAGTAAGTCTCAACG